GGTCGCGCCCTTCTGCCGTTGCTGCCGCCTCTCGATCTTCGGGCATTCGGTGGCCAGCCGCTTCTCGTCGTCCAGCCGGCGCTCCTGGTTCAGGCAGCAGTGCTTGAACGGCGCCTCCACGTACTCGTTGATGGTCCGCTCGCCGTCCGGACGGGGCACGGTCAGGCTGACCTCGCCGATGGGACTCCTGGGCGGCGTGTCGGCCGCGGTGCCCGACAGCAGGCCCCCTCTGGGGCTGGCCGCCGAGTCGCTCGGCGCGTCCACGGGCCGGGGCCTGCTGCGGAAGGTACTCGAGAGGGGGCTGAGGGGCGCGGTGACCGGGACGATCCTGGGGTTCGGAGGGGTCGACGAGACGTTGGGGACGACGGTCGTCGCGGCGGTGCCGGACGGTGGCACCCGCGGCGGCGGGAACGGCCGGTTGTGGTCGTGCACGCGGATCGGCTGGACGACCTGCACCGGTCGGACGACCTGGACCGGTCGGACGGTCGAGGAATGCGCGTCTCCGTCGTCGGTGTTCGCGGCGTCGGTGCCGCTCGCGTCGAGGCCGATTCCGCTGGTTGCTTGCGAGGAGGGTGGCCGCGAGAGCGGCGGGATCGCATTGTTCTGCGACATCGGCCGACCGGGTCTCAGCCCGAGATGCTCGGCTTGGTAGCAAGCCGCTGCGTCCACGGGATGCTGGTTCCGGTGCTCCTCCTTCTTCTTCGCCTCCAGCTCTTCCTCCTCCTGCCAATGATTCGGGAAACGGACACCGGCGGCGACCACTCCTGCTGGTCCTCTTTCCCTTTCTTCTCCTTTTCGATTCGCTCCCGGCGACGCTGACGCTGGCGGGGCTGCTCCTCCGATTCGACTCGGCGACGGGGGCACTCTGCCGGCCGATCCTGTGTCAGCTCTTCTCGCTGATGGTGCTTCTGGTGACGATGGTGACGTGGAACCACGAACCAACAAAGCCGACGACGACGATGCCCGCTCGCTAGCCCATTGTTCGACGGCTCTCGGTGTACCTGGAGGACCTGTCGTATGCTGCTGATCCTGCTGTTGATGCTGTTGCTGCTGCTGCTGCTGCTGCTGCTGCTGCTGCTGCTGCTGACGATTCGTTGACTGAGTCGGGGTAGTGAGTGTCGCCTCGTTGATCCGCACTGCCCAGCCCGCGCGAGGTGGTGGCACTCTCGACAAGGGCGTTCCATTAGCGAGGATGGTGTTCGATAATGCTCCGCGTCCGCTTCCTCTCGCCCTCGCGACACGCGCTTCATCCCCACCTGAAAATCATAAACGATACTTTAGCCGTGTGTTCCCCATTCATTCGAGTCGTTTTTAAATCAAATCGTATTGGTGTCGCGGAGAATGAATTAGTCCCTAACGCTCCGCCAGCTGTCGCGAACTTGTCCAGGTGCGTTAGGGCTCTTCGAGTCCTATGTAGAGTTTAATAATAATAGTACAATTTTTCTACGTTTATGTATAACCAAACGAAACATAGAACAAAGCGGGTAACGGACCTCCGTAGCCCAGAATGATCGAGCGAATAATAAATGTTAAACTGTCGAAAAGGTGGAGCTTCATTGTCAAAGACAGTATAATTTCGCAACGGTTCGCGAATTTGAATTGCTAAAGCTAAGACACACAGTTCCAGATGCTATCTCCGTCGCAGGGAGCTTAAATACTGCTCGGCAAACTTTTAAATATTACCAGCGCGTATGGAAATGTCATCGATCCGTTAAAGGTTAACCGTCTGTCTCTAAACATTCGACAAAAGAACGCGGGGTTCGAATGTTTCACGGTTTCAACGCGCGGTTATCGTGGAAGATATTGGCACAGTTGGTTTTCGTTTATTCGAAAGTGAACTTCGTCCAAGCAAAACGGCGCGATTCGTTAGACCGCGCGCCGGTCCCGTTCCAGAGAGAACCACCGCCAGCGCTCGGAGAGAGGTTCGGAGACTCAAAAGCGATATTCGGATCACACCTTCGCGAGCCACGAACGATGCCTAATGCGCGGTTCGCTACCTACGTGGCTTCGAGGTAGGTTCGGTCTGGCTACGTGGGCGAACCGCGATGCGAGTGGGCGCACCGCGGCCCGTGCACCGCGGTTTCTTGATTCAGTGGTCACCGGCCCACTCGAAGCGCCCACAGTTCTGGAAGAACCGAGCGTTTTGTTCGGCCGCGACCAATCGCGTCCTCTCCGCCTATCCGCCGATGCTCGCCGGATTCTTTCCGCTAGGAACTTTTCGTTCCTCTCGCGACGTCTTCGGATCTTGGACGAACGTCTAATAGTAAACGTGATCGACTCGACGCTTCGAAAACTGCGACGTCTCGTTTCGCTCGGTCGGTTTCGGAGTACGTTGGACTGCGAGACACGTTAACGCTCGGCCAATGTAAATACGCGAGAACTACGCGCGGCGGAGGAGAAGAGAAACGAGCCGATTCGCCTCGCGAACGGTCGAAACGCTCGTCGCTGGAATAATTGGAGAGCAACGCGGCACCGTAGGTAAGCCCGATGACATTAAATCTGGCTCGTAATCCGTTCAACACCGGCTCTCTCGACCCACTCTCCGAGTGCCTACAGAACTGGAAGAAACGACGTTCGTTCGCACAAGACCGATCGCGCGTCCTACACGCATCCGCTGTGTAGGTACCAGGATCGTGCGACGATGCCGGCGCCCCGACGCTTACGAAACCGAATACATTAACTTCCTGTGCTCTGCTATTCAATCTTCCCCCTTTAGGAAGCGAGACCCGCTGATTTACACCGTCTAGAACGCTGCGACCGCCGAGCGGACGACACAACGGACTCTCGAGAGCCATCCGATTAGCCGACGAAATCGTGAGACCGAGGCGAACGATCGTCGCTCACCGTCCGTTATTTAGAGTAGCCTCGTTGATCTTGACAACGCTGTTTCGAACCTGGACGTTTAACATTCCGCGTCTCCTTTCGTTCAGTCACCTTTACACCGACTCCCACGTTCTCGGATCGAACAGTTTTCCAATTTTTCCTTCGCTTTCCGTTTCCAGCGAGCGACATTTGCCGCCTGACTTGTTTACCTTCACTCCGTAACCAGTTATTTGACAGTAAACCATACGTCAAGTACACGCGACACGACTGTAAGGATCGACCGAGCCCCTAGAGCCTCGATGTCACCCGACCGCGATCGTTTGCACGAATTTACAACAATGTTTCCGCCTGTTTGCGCCTAAAGCGTCGACGCTCGCAGAGAATCGCGAGAAAAAGCAACGTTTCTTTCGCGGACCTGTAAGAAACCGTTCGCCCCCGGATTGGATATGATCCTGGGATAAATGATGCGCGGAGTCGGCGAGGATCGATGGTATGCGGGCTCGAACACATGTCAAGCCGCGGCTCTCGGGTACGCGCGCGCTCTCGCTCGCGGACGCGAGAACGCGGCGCGGGTGTGTTCGTGGCCGAACAGGCTGCCCATTCAGAGGGTGCACTCGGAGAGGAATGCGCGGCCTATCGGCGACCGACTGCCATAGGTCAGAGCTTTTAGCGGCCGTATACGGCCGAGCGTAGATAAGGGGAGCGGTTCGCGAGCTTCTCCGGCCGGTGCACGCCCGCCGAATCTCCCTTCGCTCTGCCTATCCTCGCGCGGACCTAGATATTCCTCCTTATTCCGCTGCCAACCGACACACGGCTCCATTCACCGGCGAATCCGCGTCCATCGGGACCAATGAGAACAACTGTCTCAACGCGTCGAGCGTCAATCTGTCGAAAATCGATCGAGCGAAAATCTTCACCGTTTTCCCGCAGAGTTTTTCGTTTTTACGAAAGAGAAGCAGGAACGATTATTCATTTCTTCGCGTTACAATCCCTGCGTTACTATCAGCCTAGTTTCGTTACTAAACGGTTTCATTCGGCATCGGTTACCTTGCGGGTTACGGTTCTTTTCAAGTAGGTTCACGATCACCAGCCTTCGATTTCGATTAATGGGGCGTTGAAGAAAGTAGATTCGAATTTCCATCGAAAATAACAGAGAAACGAAAGAAAGCGCCTCGTTCGCGCGTGCAGTTCGTTTTGTCAGGGTAGCCGAGGGAAGATAAGCGGCGAGTCGAGCTCTCAGCGACTCGGATTTGCCACGCGGCTCCGTTTCTGCCTCGAAACGTCGCTAGGAACAGCCGGATGACCTGAAAATCTGCTGGCCCGAGCCGCGAGGCACGCGTACTCATCGGAGCAGCAAATTTCCTACCATGTAAACGGTTTTAACGAAGCCGGAGCCGAGTCTACGAGCCGGATAGTGGATTTCGAAGAATTTTCTAGATCGAAGGTCTTCCAAGAGCATCGGTTTCGCGAGGATTACAGCGGCGAACGGTTTCGAAACGAGTCGGCGAGCTCGCGACCGCCGATAGTCGGGGACAGCGAGTCGCTCGACCGACTTGTGAATCAGCCTGTAGACGCGCGCGAAACGAGGGGAGATTCCGAGGAAGATTGCTAATCACGTAATTGTGACACGACGATCGGTTTGGCAATATCCGCGTGCCGGCGACGGCGACGATACCGTCCAATATTTCGCGTACGGTCACGTTCCGCATTCGTTCGGCGTTCCTCATTGTCTGGTCGCGCGCGGAATGACAATGAAGGGGAGCGCGTTGTTTTCCCGTGCACCGAAATCGCGACGGCCGATTGTCTCGCGCTGCGAAACGCGAGCGTGCTAGAATACGTGATCAAATTAGCGCGCGGATAAGAATTCGTCGAGTCGGCGGCGCACCGCGCGATCGAAGGAAACGTAAAGGCCACGTTTTGCACGTACGCGAATGCAAATTATTCAGAAATTCGATTAACGAGTTGCATAGGTGTCTAAACCTGGAGTTTAGTTAATGATTTTAGCACAGAAACCTGTACGATCGGACCATGGATGCACGAAACAACACCGTTTCGAAACTGCGTCCCCCGAGGAACGATGAATATTTTTTAAGCGACGTTCCGGTAGAGATACGCTTTGATTCCCGGCGGAAACGCGCGCGATAAGGCCGGACGTGCTTCCTCGGCGCGCGTGGTTTCCGTTCGATCGAGTTATCCGGTGCCGCGGAACCAGCGATATCGTCGCCTACGGTTCTCCGGAACGCGACGTTCCCGTGAGTTTACGATCAATCTCTTCGCCCCGTGAGTTTTCCCCGCGACTACGCTCGAGCATCACGCTATCGTCGACGGTTCTCGAAGGAGCTACGGTATTTCACGTTCGTGACGAGCGTTAACCGACGATAACGGCGAGGCAACCGTAAGATCGAGGTACGAATCTCCGAGTTGTTTAAATGCCAAAGTAACCGCGAGCGACCGCGTCGTTATCACGGCGGTCCACTTTTTCGCAACGAAATGTGAGGCAGATACGCCCAGTGAGACATCCTCGTCACAATTACGCTACAGTTTCGGCCCGATTGCTAATCTCGCGAAGCTTATCTCTGGACTGCGGATCTTCTGCGTTTGCAATATACGCGGCGGCCTCAACCGCGATATAGTAAACAGTTTAACCTCTTCAGGGACGAGTTGCTCGAACACGGAATGCCGCGGCACGTTTTCCAAGACGACTGCAATAAGCACTCCGAGTACGGCCGTGTTCGACAGCGCACGCGAGTGGACAACAGTGCAGGAATCCTCTAGGTCACCGGATGATTAGATACAGCGAAATTATCGAGTTCGATGCCTAACGTTAAGCTACGAATGCCTAGCGATTAAGCCGACTTTTTTTATATTTCCCAATTTCGATGAATTTCAATGGAACATACGATACTCTTGATAGTTAATCGATTCACTCGTTTCTCCGCTCGTTCTAGGTGATAAACCCTTCCTTGTACAACTCCCGAACACGCTGTACAATCATTTCCGAAGCCGAAACATTAATTTTCTCTTCTCGCATCGTCTTCCGAGCGACTCGCGTCGATCACACGGGATTTCTCCCCGTACTTCCACGGCACTGTTTCACTGTTCCGGTATTCGCGAGAAACCGGAAGCGCGCGGCGCAAGCGACGGATGGTGGACTTACTGAAAATTCATGGGACCAGCTGAAATCCAGAAAAGAAGACGGTCTCGGCCCAGTCCCGGCCAGGGTATCCTCCGGAGGCGCGTCTGCAGTTTTCCCGGAGGACGCGGGCGCGCGGCGCGCGGGATCCGCTCGCGGGTGGTTCGCGGGAGCTCGACGATGGGTCACGTCGGTCCCGGGACTCCGTCCGGCCGCGCGGGACGAACGGAACGGACGCGTATCTACGGACTTCCTCGAATTCCAGGGGGGACGACGGGTGCCGGTGGTCTCTCGCGCGCG